TGGGTTTCTGAGGACGTAGCTCTTTGTGATAGTACAAAACCTCATCTTCTGTGGAGTAGCTGGTCTCAAACAGCTAACCCTGTGGTTAGCAACTCAGCGCATAGCCACTGCCCTGCCAGGGCTCCCTCAGGGTGCATAAGCCTAATCACATGTGTACAGAGAGAGAGAATCTGTCTGCCCTCTACTGGGTGACCATCAGCCAGCGAGCACTGGTTTCCACCACCCCCCTTGCCTTTTGTAGTGAGACCCCTTTGCTATACACTGTGAGGGGCTAAGTTTAAAGATACATATTTCTCTCATAAGTATTTTTCAAATAACAAAACTCTGTGGCTCCGCCAGAGAAATGGTGATCTGTAAACATGGCAGGGATTTTAAAAAATGGGTTTTAAAAAAATGCCATTTTCTGTTTTGAGATCCCCCCCGAGTAACCAGTTGTGCCATCTTTAGGTGTATTCTTAATCTTTTTGTTTCTTTTACACCCAACATGGGCCTGAGCTGAAGTTTGGTGTTTTCTCCTACACGCACAAAAAACTGGCTGTGCCTGATGCCCCGGATTTCCAAAGGCCATGCTGACTGTGTGCAGGGTTCACCCTGCTGTCCCCCTGCCTTTCACACAGTGTGGTTCCTGGGCCCCTCTTACCTGAAAGTCTGTATGTCCTGCTTCAATGGTGGGTCCTTACCTACCTGACAGAGAAAATTAATAGGCAGATGGTCTAAAGTGGGAAACAGTTTAAACCGTTACCTGTTTGTCTGTAATTCAGATCAAAGATGTCTTAAAACTGTGAAATCCAAAGGAGAGGTGAGCTGAAACGTATCAATATTTTGATGACAACCTTTTGGCCACATAGCTAATGATGTGAACTGTGGCATACGCATGCCCGTTCAGGGAGTTGTTCTTGAGACAGAAACTCACACACTTCTTACAAGACCTGGAGCCTAATTAATTTGCTTTTCTGTGTTTCCAGAAATTAGGATTTTCAACCAAGAAGAGAACCCAGAAATTTCAGTACCAGTAAAGAACGAGAAGGTGACCTCTGATTCCAGGTCAGCTAGTGTCTCAGCAGCTGCCCCCGTGCCTCCCCGGCCCTCTGCAGAAGCCCCGGGGTCACTGCCCAGCAAGGACCCTGTGGAAAGCCCAGCCAAAAAGCAACCCAAAAATAGAGTGAAATTGGCCGCCAACTTTTCCTTTGCACCTATAACCAAGCTTTGACACTCGTTTTGAACATAGCGTTAGAATGTGAAAACACTGACTGCACACAAGTGGGTTCACACAAACATGTCCTTTTCCGTTGACGTGAGAGCCCCCGAGAAGCCAGTTGTGCCATCTTTAGGTGTATTCTTAATCTTCCTGTTTCTTTGACACCCCCCATGGGCCTGAGCTGAAGTTTGGGGATTTCCCTACAAACACAGTGATTTGAAAACTTCTGCCATTTGTTTGAAAATCCTTAATCTCATATACCAAATGTTTCTCAATAATTCTGGAATGTAATAGTGTTCCATGAAAGGAAAGCAGTCACTAGAAGGAAGTGGGCTTACCTTCATAAGCCACGGTCACGGTCTAATCCCACGTAGCTTAATGTGGTCGACAGCCCTTTGTCTCCTGATGTTTTCAGACAGTATTAATCAAATGCATGATGTGTCCTTGAATCAAAGCCCGTTCCACGATCCTACGTGTTTATACACAGGAGGGGAGGGGAGAGGAGGAGGAGCGGAGAGTGGATTTTCAGCTCAGAAGACGAAGGTTCCTGGCTTCCGTGCGACTTGTAGTGTGCCCAGTTTTTATTTAACTACGTCTGTAGTGGACAGATGTGACTTCATGACAACCTTTTTAAATGTTGTCCACTTTCGGGTTCCATTTAGGAGCTTTCTAGAAAGTAGATGTTTTATGCTTCCCATTTATGCGAAGTTCCAGGTTGATATGGATCAGGTTAAGGAAAAGGAGATGGTCTTGGTGTCATGAACGGAAAGTCAGCATTTGAGCTGCTGCACACATCACTGTGTGCCGTGAGGCAGTATTGAGGAGAGAGATTGATTGCCTAAAATATGCATCAAATGCATAAACTACAAATCAGAGCTGAATGGGAGAGGTGCTTTAATGGGAACGAGATCAATACTGTTTCCACTAGGAAGAGACAAATTCTATCAATGCATGCGAAAGCCAAGGTTGATCGACTTAACCTTGTTTTTTGTCATTTTAAAGCTGATTCTGGTACCTGGGAAGCTTTGTCTGAGAGAGTGTGTGTATGTGTGTGTGTGTGTGTGTGTGTGTGTGTGTGTGTGGCTAGCTCAGTATCTTTTAATAGTGTGTTTGCACTCCACCAGTTCTCACTGTTGGAAGCATGCGTGAGCGTTTTGGTGGTGTCTCATGTCTATGCCAGTCCTGAGAGAGCACTGTGCAGTGGGGCGACCTTGCTCTTGAATTGGTGGAGGTGTATCTGGTGACCAGTGGCCTCATAGCCCGCCTGGAAAATCCTGACATTTACAATGGGTTGTATCTGTCGGGAGAAGAGGCAGAGTCACTCTTGGAGCAGAAAGAACCTGCCGTGCAGGTCTCCCACTAGTTAAAGAGTCACTTTGGGGGAAATGTTTGGAGTGTAATTTCTAGGAAGCCAGAAAATGGACTCTAATTTTATAGCCAGCATTTGAATAAATGCCACCAAAATAAAGGCTATTGAGAGAGTTTTACAATTTAGATTTTTGTTCCTCAAATCTTTTAAATGAAGCCAGTGATTCCCAGTGCTCAACACATGGCCCCCATCCAAGTGGAAGGGCACCTCAGCCCGAGTGCCCTGACTCTGTGAGTCCTCTACAGACAGTGGTACAGGGAGGAGAATGCAAGCGGGCAAATTGTGTTAAAGCTTCCAAACAACTCGATACAGCCGGTGATAAGAACATCAGTTGCCTTCTTCAGAAAGATTTCACCAGGCAGATTTGCACGCTGATACTTAAGTTTTGCTAGCATGTAACGGATTGTGGCCTTTCAAGACTTCAAAGGTCTCATTGCAAGTCACTAGGAACAGCCTCGAAGAGCAGGTTCTGTGGGCTGCAGACACGAAGATGCTCACCTTCTGTGCTGTGTCGTGAGTGTGGCGGCCGGCCGTGTCACCCACTGGGCTGGCCTGCTGTCAGGACATTGACGCCTAACAGTCGCTGCTTGGAAAACGCGGAGTGCAGCAGAAGCATATTGTACTCATAATGGATTTCGCAATGGCCAGTACAACTGATAATCTATTTTTTTATCCAGAGGCTTAACTAAATGATGTGAAGAAGTGATATATGAGAATTAAGACAATGAAATTATTTCTGGGTGGGGAAGATGTAACTGGATTAAATTTGTTTATTTGGGGAAAAAAAAAAGTAGTTCTCGCTAACCCCTCCCCACCCTTTCCCATGCACTGTTTGTTTTGTGTTGGGCTTGTGGGGAGAGATGTCTTTCTTCACTGTCTCCTTTGTTTAAGCACTTTTGTGGTTCAGTGCTGTTTTGTGTGTTGGGACCAAACAGTTGTCAATAAACTTACCAAGCAAGCATCTAATTCGCGTTTCCCAGTGAGTGGATTTCTTTGTGTCTTGGGATAATAAACCATTCCTCTGTGTCTTCCGCCTTTCGCTTTGGGCTCCCCCAGCTCCTAAGCCCTTTTGGAAGTACTGGGGGGAGTGAAAAAGAGGGCAAATTGATTTGCCATTTTAGAGACCCTCTTAGCCTAGTATCCTTCTGGGGCAGGCAACTGGACCTTCCTGGTTAGAACCTTGTAAGGGTCCCCACCTTCTCACTGCTGTGGAGTCAGTTCTGACCCTATAGGGCAGAGTAGACCTGCTCCTGTGGTTTCTGAGACTGTCGGTCTTCACGGGAGTAGGAAGCCTCATGTTTGTCCCCAGGTGCAACTGCTGGTTTGGAACCACTGACTGCAGTTCAGTGTTTAACCCACTATGCCACCAGGGCTCCACCTTAGACTGGAAAATACAAGAAATACAGAAGCCCTTCCAGTTATAAAACTGAAATGATCCCTAGGATTTCCTGTGTGAAAGAAACCCATTTTACCTATTCCGCAGCTGGAAGCAAGTCACAGGTTCCGCCTCAGAGACGCACAGTAAGTATCTGATGGACAGGTGGCTGATGGGAGCCTGAGACAGCCCGTCCAGCTCCTGGGGTGGGAGAAAAGGGGTCCAAGGCTAACCCTTCTGAGATCACGAGCCAAACTGCAAGATTCAGAATCAACTTGCTGACAGTGATGTTGGTAGTCCCATCCCAAAGGGCCCCTGCCGAAAGGTCTGCTTCTAACCTACCAGCCACTCCTGGGGGAAAAGATGTGCCTGGCTGTGCCAGAGAGGACAGCCTTGGGAACCCCGAGGGGAAGTTCTGTCCTCTAGGGTACCCATGAGTTGACTCTAATGACAACAGGTTGGGAGTCCCACCCCACCCTCCACCCATGGAAAATTGAAGCTTGGAGAGGGTGAATCAGGGCCCAGGTCCTCCAGTGGCACGGTTGGGCTTGGAAGCCTCATCTATCCAACCCCTCAGTCCAGTATTGATGGCACGCCTGCTGGGTCAGGCACCGAGCCGGGTATGCTGGGACCAGATGAGTGAGCTTGGGCCCAGCAGAACCTTCGTGCTTCCCTGGCGGTAGCAGGGCTTGGGGCCTTTCTGTGGAGGAGGAGGAAAAGAGGACTTGCCGCTCAGGGAGCAGCTGCAGAGGCAATGGTTCTCCGGGGAAGAAGGCATCACTGCCGCAGAAACACTTCCAGGGGCTTCCCAGCGCCGAGGAGAGGACAATGAGGGCGGGGTCTTGGATGGGGCAGATGGCAGATTTGGACATAAGGAAAATATTGGGCCAACTTGGTGATACTTGAATATTAGAAAATAGTATATCAGTGGAATTTGATCATTGGTCTGGTAGTATAAAAGGATCTCCGTGTTTTTAAGACACGTGTATTGAAGGGCTTGATAGTAAAGCAATGTCATGCACCTGGCTCAGGTTGTCTGGAGAAGACGGAGGGGGAAGGGGGGCGGGGGTAGGGTAGGGCGAGAAAGCCCATCAAAACCAACACAGCAGAAACATCAGCAACCGGTGGAGCTGAGTGATGAAAGAGTGTATAGCAGGGGTATCTTAAACTGGCGGGCTTAGGGGAGATCGAGGCAATACCGTACACACACAGTTCCCTCGTTACATTTCATTTCAGAGCATCGTGGGCCACAAAAAATTATCTCAGGGCCGCTTACACCCCCCTGGCCGCCAGCTTGACACCCCAGGTGTGCAGGAATCCTTTGAGCTCTTTTAGAGACAACTCTGTTAACATTGTTAAGGCTCCTGGGCCCTCTCCTGAGGTTGAGTGGGGCTCTGCAGTTCCAAGCCTTGTCTGGGCCAGATCGAATCCATGCTGGCTGTCCACTCATGAAACCTGGAGACCCTGAAGCGAGAGAAATGTGTCTGCTGGGCATTCCTTCTTGGACCCCGTTAGGTTGTGGTTTGTGCTGGGACAACAGCTGCCGTGGGAATCTGAGCACATAGCTGCTGGGTGAGCCAAGTCATGAGCAGACTGGAACCTGGGCTGGGTGTCGGGGTACCCACACAGCCTTGAACTGAGTTCTGCCCAGCTTCCTCTGAGCTTGCGCTGCATAGCCCTCTGAAACCCTGAAGGAGCCAACACTGGTTTCATAGCCCACCATCCATCGTCCTCTCCTGGCACAGTGGGCAATCCTTCCCTGGCTCCAGCGGTCAGCCTTGAGTCCCCAAGTGAGCAGCCCCCAGTGGTTTGGGGCTGGGCATGTGACCCCAGCTGAGCCAGGCTAAGACTTCTGTTGAGATGCTTGGTGGTCCTCCAGCAGGCATAGAAGCCGTAAGGTAAGCCTGTGCCGTTGATGTGAGTCGCTCCTGGAGACTCACGCTGAGAACCGCCCTTTCGCCACCAAGAGACACCAAGGCTACGTGACAGCGTCTGTCCGGATCCGTTAGTTGACGTCTTGGGACATTCCAGCCCAGGAGCCAGGAAATGCCCTACTTCTTTCTCTTCCGTTTGGCTTCAGTGCAACCCAGAGAGCCATAATGCAGTGGCTCCCTCTCACCCATCCCCATGCTACGTGCCCTCCACCACCACCTCCTACCAGCTGCTCCAGGCCCCTTCCTGCCCCTGGGCCTTGGGCACTTATGCTGTTTGTGTGGGGAGAAAAGAAAAAGGATTGCTCACTAATGCCCAAACCTGTTGTTGCAGCTTTACCTGGATGAGGAGGAGCAGGGAGCCACTCACTCCCTAACCTTGCTTCCTCCCGCAGAGCACAGCAGTGGTTGCAGCAGCGTGGAGCCTGGAGCTGGTCAGACAATGCTAAGCCCGTGCTGAGGTGTGGGGGGAACGGCTGAGGAGAGCTGACTCGGTGGGTCTCCTGATTGGGGGTGAGGTGGTGGGGTCAGGTGTTTATAGTGACTGGGGGAACGTGGGGAGCAAGATAGCAGCACAAGAGTGGGGGTGTGGACCTAGTGCAGGAGCCGGTGTCTGAGAGGGCACGGGGGTGGGGGGTTGAGGGGTACGGAAGGTTTCGTTTTACTTGTAGCTGAGGCCAGGATGTAGAGTTGACCCTGTATCCCAGAGCCCTGTGCAGGTTGGCTGGATCATTCAGGCCAAGAATCCCAGAGTTGACCGTGAAGACAGAGAAGGCCGAGAAGAGGTGTAAACTGGGAAGTGACTAGGTTGCATGCTAGGAAGATCCTTTGGCACCAGGGTGGGGTTCAGATAGAAAAGGGTGAGAAGAAAAAGTGGGGTGGGGAGTGAGATCAGAAGTTCTAGGAGCCCTAGAGAATCAATGTGAAGCTTCAGGAGCAACCGAGAACCAAAGCACCCAGAGACGCTTTCTGTGGGCTTATCCAGAGGGCCCAGGAGTGCGGCCCCAGACAGAGGCTGAGGGTGTGGGAAGGAGTCAGATCGGAAGAGCTCCTCTTAAACCACTTGGACGAGTGCGCTTTCCTCGCAAAGGCCACAGGGCATGGCAGCTGTGCAGTGTTGGGAAAACCGCCTAGCTGCAGTGGTACATGAATTCAGAGGGGGAAAAGCCCGTGTCCAGGAAGCCGGCCGGTGACTCTCAAGGCTGCAAAGCAGGATGGACAGTCGAGAGGGACTGACCGACCAGCTGCCATCGAGTCAGTCCTCAGGCATGGTGGCCCTCTGGGGCCTGGGTTTCCAGTCCATCCCCAGGCCTCTCTGAGATACCTGTGGGTGGGCTCAACCCTACACCTTTCTGGTCCATAGCCAAGCCCATTGACTGTGACGCTTGCGGGCAGAGAGCTTTAGCAGGTAGAAATAAAGACTGGACGCAGTTGGGTGAACACAAGAAACCCTAGAGCCGCCAAGGCTAAGTCTAAGGAAAATTCTGGGCAACCATGTGGGATACTTTCCTGAGATGAAACACACAGGTGTGGGGGAGGGTGGAAGCATTGAACTAGAGGAGGGTTGTGTGTTTCATCGTTGCTGCGCTGCGCCCTGGCTGGCTCGCCGCCCTCCTCGACCCTTCTATAAGGGGATGTCCAATTGCCTATGGGTGGGCTTTGGGTCTCCACTCCACGCTCTCCCTCATTCACACTGATATTCTTTTTTGACAAAGTAATTTATGCATCGAATCTAACAAAAATCGGAGCCTTGTGTTTTGTCAAAAAGAAAAGAAAAACACAGGTGAAGCCAAGCCCAGTTTGGGGAAAGCAAGCTGATGCTGGAAGGGCCCAGGAATAATGATGTTGGGATTTGTAGGCCATCGTCCTGACTGTTGTGACTCCTTCACTCTGCCGTAGGAAGCACATCACCAGCCACGGATGACGTGTAAGCAAGTGGACATGGCTGAGTTCCGATAAGTATTTACAAAAACACGTGGCAGGTGGATCTGCCACCTTTGGTTCTGAACACGTTCCGTTCCGTGTGTGTCCATGCGGAGACCTCAGGGCCCCCCCCCCCCCCCCCCAGGTACATGGCCTGAGCTCGGGAGACGCCGGGTGCAGGCAAGAGGGCGCCGGGCCCTGACAAAGTTTTATGGGAGACTGGGAAGGGCTCCGTCAGGGAAGGCAGATGGTCCGCCGGTAAACGTGTCGTAGCAAACAGTGCCTGCAACTGAGCTACGTGGGGGGCTGGAAAGCAGCAGTTGGCTATAACCAGGCAGAGGCCACTGTGGACCCAGGAATGGGAATCTCTGGCCTGAGAGTGACAGGAACCCAGTGACTAGATATTGAGGCCAGAGCGGGAGGACTGGACTGGATGACTCAAGGACGGCGGGGAAGGCAGCATTGAGGGCTTGCAGGAGGAGATGGAATGGAAGACGACTTTTTTTTTTTTTCATGGTAGAGATTTGTTTAAAAGTTAACTGGAGGAGAAAGGACTATGGGAGCCCCAGGAAGGAGGAACGTAAGAAGAGTGAGCCACTGGGAACTACCAGGGCCTCTGGGAACGGCCTTACTGCCCGCTTCATCTGTACAGTGGACATCATCAAGGGTTGATTCGAGGAGTGAACGTGACAATGAGCACACGGTTCTCCAAGGGGCCTTCCAGTCACCTGCCCCCTGGCTCCCAGGAGGAGCGTGTCTCAGTGGGCAGCACGCCAAGGCCTACATGTCAGAGCTTTGCAGGCGTTCCTGGTGACCCAGGAGCCTTTTGGATAATGGCCAAATCATAACTTCCTAACTTCTTTGACCTACCGCCCTCTTTTCAGGAAAAAAAATTTAATTGCCCCTTGGCAATGAACGACTTTTGTACTGCAGCCACAATCCAGGATAAAGGTGTGCGTACCTGCATTCACAGCCCCTCTGGATCATTCTGGCACCCCCCAGGGGGCGGTATCGCCCACTTTGGGAAACACCGGTCTAAATTAAAGCATTCTCTGTTTTTTTCGATGAAATGCTATAGGAATCGCAGGAGCCTAAGTTAGATCTCCCCTAGGGCTTCACAGATGTGCTGGAGGCAAGGCTTTGATGCCTTTCCTATCTGCTGTTGGATTGGTTAGTGAGTGCTCTCTACTGGGTCCAAAGGCAAGCAAGCTTCCAGACCCCTGTTTTCAATGGGCGAAGCCCTTTGCTGCCTGGGGGTTTTATTGTGAGTTAGTGGGAAGGGGCTGGCAGAGAAAGGCACGATGTCTCCCAAGGCCAGCAGTGTGACACTGGAAGGGCAGGAACTGGGTACCGCTGAAACCTGGACGGAAACGAACCTATGGAAGACGTGGCCCTGCTGGGCCACAAGGCTGGCTGCCCACTCCATTTGAGCCAGCCTACTCAGATGGAATCCACACTTCAAGTGACTTTGTGTGAACTCCAAAGCTGGGAGACATTAAGATTAACTTTTGATGTACAAGTATTTTTAAAATATTACTCAGAAAGGCTGAACAGGAGTCCAGACCACAGCCATCCAGGAAGAAAGGTTTGGCAAATCCACTTCCTAAACCAGCCGGTGACCACCTTGTGGATGGATCACGGTGCTTTGACCTCACTGGGTCAGGGTTGGGCTAAATGGTAACTCGCAACAGCAAGAGCACTGAGAGAGAACTGGACCGATGATGCTCGCTCTAGGAGTGATCTGGGGAAATCAGGGATGCAGATGAAGCTGTGTTCTCCGGGTGGCGACCCTCCGCTGACAGCCCGGGAGGCGACTGATTCCGAGGCAGAGTGAAACAAGAGGACAGTTGAATGGCTCCCGGGGGTTTCTGAGTCTGTGGGTCGTTACAGAACAGTCTGTCCCGTTGTTCTCCCCTGGAACAGCTGGTGAGTTGAAGCTGCTCACCTTTCCGTGAGCAGCCCGACAGGGAAGCCTGAGCTGCAGCACCTGGGCTCCTTAGGGTGTTGGCAGCAATTTGATTTCTAAGACTGAAAAACCCAAAGCAGCTAACGGTCCAGTCGCGAGGAAATAGTTAGAGAAGCTGTGGTACAGTCGCCAAACGGATTAAGAAGAAGTCACTGAAAATATTTATGAAGAGTGTTTAATGTGTACAAAGAATCTGTAATGCCGAGAGAGAACACAGTGGTATAATGCCACGTGGGGAATAAATGAGTTACAGATATTACAATATGAGGCCAAAGATGGAAAAGAAAATATGCCAACCTGTCAAAAGGTGTGCTCCCGTGAGAGGCGCTCTGAGCCCCGTGCTTTCTGTACTTTCACAGTGGTCTGTGTACACAGAGAACTTCTGTCACCAAGAAGAAGCGGGAAATAAAGGGCAAAGTTTCAAGAACGCTATGTATGTGGTTTCCATTTTTATTTTCTCTGGTGGCTGGTTGCACATCAGTGGATCTTGCATGAGTGCTAACTACTGACGGTAGTCACTACACACACACACACACACACATGCGCAGGGACAGAGAGGTCACACAGGCTGGGCCCGGCTGGCTGTAGCAAATGCACATAGCAAGTTTACACAGATGGAAGTGTTCAACTCGTGACAGTCCACCACAGTGGGAGGGGACACGGTTGGATCCGCTTGCCTCTTCCCACTTGTCACTGCTATCAGCAAGGCTACTGAGGCGACATCTCCCCTGGCATCCCCGCGGGGGCCCCACGGTGGGTGGGGAGAACATTCTCCCCAGGTCCCTTCCCATTGGCCCTGCCTTGGGCACTAGAGTGTTCAGGCCTCAGCACTGCTTGTGAGCATTGGGTCGGCTCCAGGCTGCCCCCCAGGCCCAACTTGGGTCCCCACCCCTGGGGTGGACACCGCCAAGGGGATGAGTACAGTAGGCACCCTCCTGGGAGGAGGAGGGAGACGTGACCACGACACCACATGCAGGCACAATCTTTACCGATGGGCCCTTGTGTCCCGAGGTGCCTGAGAGACAGGTGGGCTGGGTGCAGCCCACCAGGGCACAGGCCCTGGAGAGGAGGCAGGCAGAATGGAGAGCGGTGTGTGTCTGGGGACGGCCGGCAGCAGAGCAGAGCATGTCTCAAGCACGGTGCTAGAGCAGTGGTTCTCAACCTGTGGGTCGCGACCCCTTTGGAGGTCCAACGATCCTTTCATAGGGGTCGCCCGAATTGTAACAGTAGCAAGATGACAGTGATGAAGTAGCAACGAAAATAATTTTATGGTTGGGGGGGGCACCACGCCACGAGAAACTATGAAAGGGTGATGGCGGTAGGAAGGTTGAGAACCACTGTGCTAGATGGTTGAGAAGTCACAACTGTACACACCGGGGACCCTGCCTCGCTCCCAGCCCATTCACATGGTGAATTAGATACAGCTAGATAGAAGTGGAGATAATACTTTTTTTTTTTCCCCAAAAAGGACCTTTCCTAGAGTTGGATAGACAGTGAGACAGACGCCTGGGTTCAGCATGCTCAGGGGAGGGCCATGCGACAGTGAGAGACTCCCTATTGCTACACTCTGTACAGGGCGGCCGGGCCTGCCTGCCGCGCCCACTGCCCCTGGCGGCAGTCACAGGCTTGCCTTCAACCCTTTCGTCTTGGAGACTTCTTGGGCCCCAGTGCCATGGGGGCTGTGAAGACAAGAGGGTGGGAGGGGGCGGTGGCCCCGTGGCCCCAAGGGCACCCCACATCGGGGTTACATGATGTTGCACTGGGTGGCCCCACAGCAATCCTTGATGAGTGCCAACCCCGTCTTGGCCACCGTGGGCTTGCTAGGTGGGGGCTCTGCTTTCTTCTCTGCCGGGGAGCCTGTAGCAAGGGAGGAGCACAGAGGAAGAAAGGGAGAGATAAGGTGAGGAGAATCCTGAGCATCTGCAGCCCCACCCCCACCCCTGGCTAAGGCTTGCTCAGCGTCACAGGCCAGGTAGTGTGGCAGTGAGCGCTAAGGAGGGACTGTTGCCCCCTGGCCCCCACGGGCTTTCCCGCGTCAGCCCTTTCTCTACCTGGTTCTCCTCGCCAATCCATCTGCTAAGCCTAGCACAGGGCCCAAGAGTCAAGAAGTCTTTAGTAAATAGGAAATCTCGTTCAGGTCATTTTGGTCCCAGGTTCGAGTCTCTTAGTTCTGTCAAATGCTGGCGCTGCGTTCTCTTCTCAGATGTTCTTTTACATCCATTACCTGTTATGTTGCCTTTTTGAATGTCCGCTGCCCCCCCCCCCTTTAGAATGTCTCTCTCTTTGTCACTCTCTGCTGCACGCTTGGTCATTTCCCCAGAGCTGTCTTTCAATGTGTGAATCTTCCCTTCAGCTGTGTCTATGTTTCATCTGTTCTTTAAACCATCCAGAGATTTTACTTCAGTGACAATATCATTTTTAGAATTTGGGCGGGGGGTGGGGGGGTGGTGATCTACATATTTTTTCCTAACATCCTGTATGTTAATTGTTTTCATCCATGTCACCATTTTAAATATTCTTATTGATACTTTTAGAGAATTGTGATTTCTGGTTCTGGGGGTGATGGCGTTCTCTTGTATCGATGAGTCATGTAGTCTTGGTTTAAAAATTCTTATTAGGAGCTCATTGTCCTAGGGCTTGTTTTGTCTGTGGGTGTCTGTGTACCCTGAGATTGAGATAGGCCTTTATGGAGCAGTTTTGTGCTAATTTTGAGCCGTTTCACTGCACAATACAGTTGCTTTTTTGTTTTTTGTTTACAGTCATTTCTTTCCTGGAGTCCCAGAACTTTTGCTGGTTTTAGACTCATGATTAATATTATAGTTTCAATTAAGAAATGTGTTCAGTGTAGCAGTGTAAATCTGGACCCCACACTTGGCCCCCTGTACTGCATGTTGGTGGAGTGTTTTGATTTCTTGCCAGACTGACGTCTTTCTTCCGTGAACCATCCGGACAAAGAAGGCCGGTCTCCTTGCTCTTTCTCCCTGCTGCTAAGTGGAGCCTCTCTCGTCTGTCTTTCATGGAAGAGACAGTCCTTTGAAGAGTCTGGCATTGGACAGAGGTCATGTGATTTCAGGGGCCAGTAGAAGGGGTCACTTCCGCTTCCCTTCTTGTTCTTCACATCCCACAGGCTACAGCCATGTGTTCCTGAAATGTTACTGGGTGGTCAGTGAATACTGAGTTTGTGGTTGGAGTCGTTAGTGGCAACTTTTAGCTCCCAATCACTCTTCCTCTGGAAATGGAATGTGTCCCTGTGGCTGCAGGGGTGGGCATGGGACGCTCTTCTGGTCCATCACGGTGACCCACTCTCCCGGTGACAGTGACTGGCCTGAGAGATGGAGACATAGTCCAAGAAGGGTGGACAGACTCTCTCTGAGATGGATGTGTTTAGACACCAGAGGAGAGAATATGTGGCCTTCACACGAAAGTGCTGAGCTCTGGTTCGGGCCCCAGCATGAAGACTGTAGTGTAGCACCGATGAAACATACAACTTTCCTCTAGTTCTTTAATGCTTCCTCCCCCCGCCCACTATCATGACCCCAATTCTACCTTACAAATCTGACTAGACCAGAGCATGTACACGGGTCCGGTTAAGAGCTGGAAACACAGGGAATCCAGGACAAATAAACCTCTCATGACCAATAATCAGAGTAGCAATATTAGGGGGGGAAGAGAAAGGTGGGGGGGGAAAGGGGGAACTGATCACAATGATCTACATATAACTCCCTCCCAGAGGGATGGACAACAGAAAAGTGGGTAAAGGGAGACATCAGTGTAAGACATGAAAAAGAATAATTTATAAATTATCAAGTGTTCATGAGGGAAGGAGGGTGGGGGAGGGAGGGAAGAATGAGAAACTGATACCAAGGACTCAAGTAGAAAAAATGTTTTGAAAATGATGACGGAAACAAATGTACAAATGTGCTTGACACAATGGATGGATTGTGATACGAGTTGTACGATCCCCCCATAAAATGATTTTTTTTTAAAAGACGGGGGGTGGTGGGGGAAATGAAGCCAGCGTGCCTCGCCGGGCAGAGGTAAGGAAGTAAGGTGAATGGAGGGCACTCTGGCAGTAGCCCGTCCCGAAGGTCCAGGTATGCGTCGTTCTTCTTTCAACAACCCCCTCTGGGGCTTAGTTCGGATTCAGTGTCCGTTTCTTGTACGTGAAAATGCTCACGGACCCAGCAGCAGCCGTCACGTGCAGGAACACATCAGCGGACCACAAAGAGATCCTCTTTGACAGGAGGACCCATTCGCTCTTTAACCTGACAGGGGACACTGGGGTGCTCCAAGCAGGGTCACGTACGTAGCAATTCCCAGAATTTCACACACAAACACCCACTCACCCACCCAGCCCACCCTAATAGCTTGTGAAGCTAACGCCCTGAGAAGCATGCTTCTTGCCTCTCTCTCCCAGAGATTCCAACCCCAACCCCCTGGGCCTGTCCCGCCTTCTTGTCTTGGCGCTTCCCCAATTCCTGTGAAATTGCCCCAAACCGTGTGAGGACAGGCCAGGCCGCTGCTGCCAGGGCTGACTGTGTGCTTTGCAGAGCCCAACGCAACATGAAAATAGGGGACCCCCTGCTCAACAAAAGGGAATCCCTGGGGTAGTGTAAATGGTTAAGTGCTTGACTATTAACCAAGAGATTGGCAGTTTGAATCCGGCCCCACTCCCAGCCCAGGCACCTCAGAAGATCTGCTTTTCAAAGGTCACCGCTTTGACAATCCTCTGGACCACATCTGGGGCTGCCACGAGTGGGAAGCAACTCAACCGGCCAGTGATTAGTCTTTTGTTCAGACAAAAGCAGCAGAGCATTACATCAATTGGGGAGCCTCGTCAGTACAGGCAAAGCCAGTCGTCTGCCCGCCACCATTCTATGGCTCACAGAAGTGTGTCCCTGTGTGCCCTTTGGCTCTCAGGCGTCTTTTAAGTTCTGGACAGGAAGGAGGGAAGGGAAGAAGAAGCATGCCTGCACTCACTGGCTGGGGACTTGGTTACTTTGTCTCGAGGTTTTAACTTGATCCTCAGGAAATCCGCCATTTCCTTGTCTTCTTCCTGCTCCCTGAGAGTACAGAGAAGTTCGGTGAAAGACAAAAGTCCACGAAGACCAGAAGACGCATTGAGTAGCCAACGAAATGCGATGGACCAGGTGAGACCGTGAGTGGGCTTGGAGGATGATGTGCCTATGCTGATGGATGGTGTGTAGGTACGCTGTGTTCCATAAACTTGAAACCTGTTGGCCTGGGGACGGGGGAGGGGTTCCTTCTGCCTGGGTCTCAGTGACCCTGTGCTTTTCAACCAGCTCAGATACCTATTCCCCCATCAGGTAGGGGCACGTGGTCAGGCTCTGTGGGCAAACACCTTGGCTCTCCCGAGGCTCACCGGGAGGAAGGTGGGTGAGCTCAGCCTGGGAGAACCGACAGGTGAGTTCCTGAGAGGAGAAGATGTCTCTGGATTGAGAGAGGCCCTGGGAGCCAGGGGACACTGTGTGCCTTTCTTTGCCAGGGACAAAGTTATTCAAGTCCCAGCTTTCCCTCAGCCTCTTTGGGTTCCTCCCATCTTGGGGCCCTCACTGCCTTCCTTCCCTCTGTCCTGGAGTGAGGTGACAGGTGGGGCTGCAAACAGGAACACCTGGTTACTAGGAGGGACCTCGACACCTTTCTCCAAACGGAAGAGCAAGGGTAAACCGAGGAGGCAGAGAGGGCAGGGGAGGAAGCATGCTAGTGCAGGAAATGGAGTCTCCGTAAGGATGGAAGCTCCAGAAGTCGCGAGGGGAGCCAGCTCCATGAAGAGAGTGGCAGAGAAGCTTTGAAACTGACAGGTGAGCTCCCTCGGGAGCAAGGATGGGGCGACACGGGGCAGGGACACTCCAGCAACCAGAAACAGGGCCCCGGGCGGCAGTGAAGGAGATTGCTGGCCGATGATGAAAAATGGAACTGCCACTGAACAAATTAGCTAGTGGAGACCCAATGTGCTGTGCAAACTCCCCCCAAACCAAAATAGTATTCAGGGGGGAAAGAATAAGAAGGGGTGACAGCGGCTCTGCAGGATGTCACGTGTTGGAATGCCTTCCTCGCCGCCTCTTCAAGCAGTGTCCACAGAAAACCTGCAGCCCTTGCCGGTTGGGAGCTGGGCCTGCTGGAGAAGGGTGTGTGTGTGTGTGTTCAAGTGTGTGTGTGTGTGTGTGTGTT